TGTGTGTGTGTGTGTATATATATATATAAAATATAGAGCTAGGTTTGACCATGACGATTGTGCACTGAGAGGCCAAGTTATGACACCTCTTAACTTCCCATTGGTATATAATCTATACTCGCTACCATTGTATTGAGATATTTTTTAAATTGATGTTCATCTAAATTACAAAACCAGCTCCATTTTTGTATAATGTAACAGAAAACAACATGAGTTCTGCTTTTGGAGTTATTTCTCCACGTGAAATGCGCACAGCCCTATTATTTTGCAAGTGTCTCTTATCTGCTTCATATAAACAGGGTCCCTCATAATCTCACTGCAGTTAAGTACTCTCACCCCGTGATCACCCTTCATTGCGGTGTGATCATAACCGCTCATAACCGTTCTACGGCTTCCTGCCCCCGATCCACATTCTCTTTAACCCCGTACCTCCAGTGCCGTTCTGAACTGTCCTGCTGCCACGGCGTATTTCTTTTGTCTGTAACAAGAGCTGGCATCCTTTAAGGTTACCTGAAGCCACTTGTCAATCTGAGGTGGAAAGCTGAGGTTAGGGACACTCAACGGGTCTACTATTTCGGCCGCATGGCATGTTGGTTGAGTCCCAGTGGGCTTGAAGGCTTCTGTGAATTCATAGCTCACGTTCTCTTCATCAACGTACACCAACTTCATTTCCACATCCATCACGTTCTTTAAGGGGATGTGAGGCAGAGGCATGGTGATTAACTGATTGTCAAATTCCATCATCTTTGCCTCTTTCTTTCCAGCCGGCTTTTCTTCACCTTCTGCCTTCCTTTTAAAGGCTACCCTCTCTAACTCATTGCACTGTTTGTCTTTGGTGCTCCTTGTTGTTTTGACTCTTTCAAATGGAGAAGTTTCTACATGTTTGCTGCCACAGTTTTTCTTCATCTCCGGTGACGCTGCCAAGATTGCAGCTGGGTTTGCGAAGGTGCCCATTTTCTTGTTTATGTTCATCTTTGGCACAAGGTGGTCATGACAGAGCCTCGTCGTTGCATTTTCCAAACTCCTCTGGCCTCCTAAAGCCATTAATTTATCTGCCAAACTCCTATTGGGGTAAGAAGAGGGAAAATAAAATAATATTTTGAAATTACACTGATTTAGATTAGAATCAAATTTATGTAAAACACTGTTTTATTCATTATAGGTATTTACTGCCTTGGAAGAAAAAGCTATATGCACATCATCTGTTGTCTGCACTTTTCCTAGGGCAGCGTATGTTTCAATTTAAAAACTCACCAAGAGAAGAATTTGTTGAAAATACATTCAGACCATGTCTTAAAAAAAAAAACCATCCATAGATGAACACCACTGAAAGAGTATTTTTAGGGGGTGTCCGGACTCACTGAATAGGAAAATCTTATATATAACCACTGAGGACAAAAATGACAAAAAAAATTCCATCTCAATATTAATTTCCTCAGAAAGGCAGGTGGTCTAGAACTCATTATGAAATACACCGCAACCTGCATAATAGACTTGAGAGTCTAAAGAAACCACAGCTGCTCCCTCTGAAAAGCTTCCAGAAATGTTGGGAGCACAAAGTTTCCAAGATTTGTTTCTTCAATTAATAATGGAAAACTAAAACTTTAACCACTTCCAAGATAACTCTTATTCAGAGCAGACTTGAAAGTAGAATAACACGGCTTTCAACTTCACGTCAATGTTGAGTCACCTATCGATCTTAGGCAGTTGGTTGAGGTTAGTATCTATTAGTAACTCCAGCAGCAGTCCATCCTGCCACTTTTATTTCCTATCTCTTGAATAAATTCAGTGTATCAGGTTATTTTCCAAGCCAATCTTTTTCTCTCCCTCTTTGTTTCCCTGCCTCTTTTTCTTTGTTTCTCCTTCAAAATAGCACTCTCCCTGCCATCCTCCACACCCTGTCCTGACCTTTACTACTCTGCAAGAAGGAAGATTTAGAATTTTTAAGAAACAAGCTTCCAAGTTCTTCTGGCTCCATCAAGCACTCCTGGCTCCCTACTCAAGTAAGTTTTGGTTTCTGTGTAGTTTTAAAAGAGTGACCCTGGTTGAGGGGAAATAGGCATGACATACATGAGGGATTCTGAAGTAATAAATATAGAATCAGGTCTACTTTTTTAACTTCTGAAAGACAAATGAATCCAAATTCATCTCCAAATATTAATTGCTCTTCTGCACCCTTAATAAGTATCAAAATATCTAAAGTTGAACGAAATGTGCAGGATAAAAAACAATGGCCAAATCCAGCCAGTATATTTTTGCATTAATCGCAAATCACGTGTCTTCACTTTTCCATGTAGAGCCTGGTTTTCATCTCTCTCCCTCTCCTCCTCTCTCTCCCTCCCTCCTGCTCTCTTTTCCTCTTAAAGAATCATTGTCATAATCTGGAATTCAGACCTTTGCCCATCTAGCCCCATCTGTGTTTAGACTAAATAAAGAATTTTATTTAGCACCGGTCCTTGGACATCATGCTAGGGAGGGTGGAGGGACAGCGCAGGAGGGGAATTGATGAGGTGGATTGATTAAGTGACTGGGGTAGTAAGGTGGGTGTGTCAGAGATAGAGAGATTGGCACAGGACAGAACAGAGTTTAGGGCTGTTGTACATAGGGTCACTATGAGTCACAAGAGACTCAATGGCACATAACAACAATAACAACTCCTACAAACTTCCCTGAAGACAAGCACTACTCTTTGCTGCTTTCAAAGAATGCTTATTTCTAGTTGTGTCGATTACTCCCTGTGTTCGTTTTCACTTCATTTTACCAGCACAAAGCTAGCCAGAAGCTGACCATCTCTTCTCACTTAACGAAGTGGCAGCATTCCCAGCACTTATTTTCTATATAGCTTTCATATGTCAATGATGTCTTTCTTCCAGTAAGATACCCAAACACAAAAATGAGATTTATTTGACAATAGGTTAGTGTTTTACATGGAGTAGCTATTGAATATAGATGTTGATCAAAGATATTATCTAGATAGCATAAGAGAAATCAAAACCTGATTTTTCCAAGAGGAAAGGCCTCAACTTTTTTTTTTTATTAAATTTTATTCGTTTTAATGAACATTTACAGGGATTTTGGGTTTTCATTCCTTCATTGCTAGGCCTCAACTTTTGATAAGGTTCATTTTCAGGTCTTGCTGCTAGTTATTTTAATTTTAAATTTGGTCCTGGGGAAAGTGCTTTGTTTTCTTTGATAGTTCAAATGAATCATGTACCGGCTAGATTTAAACTATCAACCTCTTTATATATTTTTTTTAGCAGTCAGGTTGATTAGCATGACATTAGTCAGTGGTCTGAGGCATTGAGATACACAGTCATTACTTCAATACAAATGCTTTTAGTGGAAACTGTTATATAGTCATTATGTATGTTAGAGAAGTATATGCTGATAGCCTTCCGTAAAAATGCCCATTCTTTAATTTAGAAGACAATCATGTAAAATTGATTTCCTCATACAGACAGGCCTAAAAGAAGATCTGTAGCAAATATTGATATAAAACATTAAAACAATCTCCAAGGCCTTATAATAAATGTGGGTACAAGAAGCAAAAAATAAAAAAAAGGTTAATGTTCAGTCATCTCGAGGGGCTAACCATTTTACATTTCTTGAATCCATTTATTACTTCTCCCTCCCCTTTTCATATAACTAAGCATTCTGTTCTTTGTGGAAGTTTTCATTACTGCATAGGCACAGTCTGTGGTTTACGAGGCTACTAGTACCACAAATTATTTATTAGATTTTCGATTGAGATAGGCAGCTCAAACATGGGCAATTCAGAAAAAAGAGAATCTTTGAAAATGTACTCTCTGAAACATTCAACATCACAGTTGCTATGGTTTTCTTTCCTTGAAAAAAAAAGGAAGAAAATGATCTAATTTTAACTTGCTGTTCAATATAACCAAGAGAGACATTATGAAGAAAATCACCTGGCTTGCTTGCCCACAAGCATACCATGGTAATTTTAAAAGTGCACAATAAAATGCTTCTGTAATGTAACAACCACCCATTGAGTTTCAAGTCAGAAAGGTGCTAGGAAGACTGAGATGACCAAGGGAGGGTATTGGCGTTCTAGAACTAGAAAGAGTATCCCAGAGTTTAGACTGTGAATGGCTAGAGAGGCAGAATTCTGTTACAACGATTCTTCTAGACTGATGTCTAGTTCCTTCGGAAACTGAACAAAATAGGTGCTCAATGCACATTTATTGTTCCCAGAAGCATGAAGCTGTGTGTTGTAAGTGCTACTATTGTAGCAATTATGGATGTACTTCTGTGGGAACACAGATGACTGATGTCATTTCACCACACTGGGGAAATGTTTTTAGAGGAGGCAGATTACACATGTCCCTAAACAAGCAATTTCTTCTCTACTTTTTCCAAGTACTCACAAGAAATGGTTCATCATTATCAGAAGGGAGGAATGAAATTGGCATACACGGCTTAGTAAGAAATAGAGAATAAATTATGCTGTACAGCTTAGCATAATGAAAACCACCAGCAGGTTCTCTTAGTTCACAGTTCTCTTATAATAATTACGATTAGCATAACTATCATATTTATTACCATAACTATTACTAGCTTTGTTTTATTAAGGAGGACACTTAAATTTTGTCAAGCAACTTGAAAGACGTTGTGATGAAAGTTATGAAAGCTAGAAGTGAAGCTCAGGATATTTGATTGCATTTCCTTGCTTCTGAGACTACAGGATAACCATTTTCTCCCTGTGGTACCTCCAAATGATTAATATTTGTGCTTTTTTTAATCTTAGGGAATTGTACGGTATTTCTGCAAAAGTATTATTTACTATTGATTCATGGAGTAAGATCACCTTTAAAAGAATAACAAAAGGAATTGATAATTTACAGTTAACTTAAGTATGTTAATCACATTTGTTGAAAATAGTATCAATTTTAAGTGTTTTTATAAGCTCTTCAGTTGCAAATATAATTATAGCCATGTTATCCCACAGCAGTTATTAAGTTCAGAAAAAAAATGATGTGGCCATTAAATCTCCATCCAGCTAGATTCTAAGAACTTAAAACTTAAAATCACCAAGCCATGTCCTGATCATTAAGTATCAAAAGGGGCCTAATGGCGTTCAAAAGCTTACTTCCCGGCAGCAGACACACTGGGAACATTTGCGTCAGGTAGTAGAGCAGCTTCATTATTGTGTCACACAGCGGGGAAACATCGGATTTGCAGTTGAAAGAGAGATTTGAATCCTAGAATTGCTCTTAATGAGCATATGTTCAAGCAGAAATTACCCAACCTTTCTCCACGTTACTGTGCCCATCTGGTGACTGGGAATGAGTGTGTACCTGCCTTGGAAAGCTTTGTTGTCGCCTGTCGTCTAGTTGGTTGTGATTCATAACAATCCCAGGGACATCAGGAGGGAACACTACCCGATTCTTTGTTATCCTTGAAATCCTGACTGTCCTGCAGCTCTCTGCTTCATCAAACATGACGTCCTTCTGCACGGATTGGTTCCACGTAATAGCACATCCAAACATACTTCGGGAGTAAGTGCAAAGATGTCAGTCTAGAGACTAAAGTGTGTCTGATCCAGGCCATTGTCTTTGCAATTACTTGTTATGCATCAGAGATCTGGACAATGAATAAGAATGACAGAATAATAATTGATGCCTTTCGGTTGTGGTGCTGGAGAAGAGTTTTGAACATGCCATGAACTGCCAAGAGAACGAACAGGTCTGTCCTAGAGAGGGTGTCCTAGAGAGGGTGAAACTAAGTTGCTCTCTGGAGGGAAGGATTTTGGAGCACCATCTCACATACTTTGAGAGTATTGCCAGGAGAGACCAGTGTTTGGAGAAGGACATGATGCTTGGAAAGGTGGAGGGACAACACAGAAAGGAAGACCCTGAATGGAATGGATTCACACAGGGACTGGGGTGGTAGGGGCAAGTGTGTCAGAAACAGTGAAACTGGCTCAGAAGAGGACAGGGCTCAGAGCTATTGTACACAGAGTTGCTATGGTTTGTAGGCGATTAAACAGCACCAAACAACAACAGAGGTTAAAGAGCTGTTCTGCCAAACAAGAGGCGAGCGGTT